GACAGACGGCTAACCGGGTCTACAACCCGAATCGGGTGTGACAGCACGGGTTTGGTGGGGCTTGCTAGCTGTTTTTAAACGGGCCGTTTAATTGCTGCTTGTACCTTTTTGGTTGGTTACCACTGTCGATCCTTCTCTACACGTTTCTTGCAAGAAATCAGCAAATTGCTTCCGTCTTACGAACATGCAATTCCAGCCGAGACCTTAGATATCGCTTGTCTCACGGCGGCGCAGCTGTTGATCTTCCTTGCTTTCAGAAAACACCCACAGGCTATGTCCCAAAAGAGAAACGGTCCGAAATCCCAAAGGTAAGTATCCTCTTCATGCACTACTCAACGGTTTCCCCAGTCTTGGGACTTGTGGAAATGAGGATTCGCCCCCATTCATTTCCTGCCCAGCCATGCGAGTTGCTGGTTTGGACGCAAAGTCACACCGACACACCGAGCCCGCTGACTAGATACTGAATGCGTACCTGACGGATTTTACGTATCCGGATCCCGCCGCTTGCATAACGCCCCACAGATCGTTCTCCACCGGGCATCCATGGGGCCTGACGCCGAAACACTAATTGCCCATTGCTTACTGGTTACTAGTGATTTAGAGTCTGCCAGTCAAGTTTGATGATATCTAAATTCCCAAACGCTCGTTCAAGTGATTTTGTTTGCCAACTCTAGTCGTTCATTATGAAATTCTCACTTGCTCTTCTCACTCTTTCGCTGGGGCAAAGTGTTGTCGATGCTTTTCCTTCTCTCGACCACCGCCACCTGCATGGCTTAACCCCGGAAAAGCTGAATGCAGCAATCCGGTCAGTGGAGGACTACCAAAAGGAGAAGAGGTTCATCATTGACTTCACCAAACCCATTGATGTTTCTGGAGAACATGCATTCCAGGCTCCCAAGTCAAGCGACCAGCGTGGTCCCTGTCCAGGACTGAATGCCCTGGCAAACCATGGCTACATTTCTCGCACTGGTATCACCAGTTTTGCAGAAGTCGTTACAGCTATCAACCAAGGTGCGTTTTTCCAATCTCACATGACCAGGGAATGGGATAATTTTTAACTTTTTGATATTATAGTCATGGGTATGGGCTTAGAACTCGCTCTCGTTCTGGGGGTTATGGGAACTGTCTGGACGGGCAACCCACTGTCGTTGAACCCGGGTTTCTCCATTGGAGGTCCACCCACTGGGCTCGTGGGGCAAAACCTCTTGGGCAACCTGGTTGGGCTTTTGGGTATGTCGCCGTCATTTCCAAACTACAAAATGTACAACAACAGTTACTCACACTCTTGGCGTTACTAGGCAAGCCTCGAGGTCTTTCGGGTTCGCATAACTGGATCGAGTCGGACGCGTCCCTTACACGCAATGATCTCTATGTCACGGGCGACGCCGCGACCATGAACATGACCTTGTTCATGGACTTCCACGACCGTGCCGACAAAAATGGTGTGCTCTCCATGGATGTACTCGCTGATCAGGCTGCTCGTCGCTGGGCGCAAAGCGTCGCAACCAACCCATACTTCTACTACGGTCCTGTCACTGGTATGGTCAGCCGCAACGCTGGTTACTTTTTCCTGGGCCGCATCCTATCCAACCACACAGCCGAGCAACCCGAGGGCATTCTGACCCAAGAGGTTTTCCGAAGCTTCTTTGGTGTTTTCAAGAAGGACAATGGAACTTTTGAGTACCGCAAGGGACACGAGACTATTCCCAACAACTGGTACCGCAGGACAGTCGAATATGGTTTGGTCCCACTTAACTTGGACATTGTCAACTGGGTCCTGAAATATCCCGTTCTTGGCAGGTATGTGCACATGATATTCCGCTTTGCAAGTCATTCCTCAGTACCTAACACTTGGCTACAGCATTGGCGGCAACACTGGCAAGGTGAATTCATTCACTGGCGTCAATCTTGGTGACATTACCGGCGGCGTGGTCAACCTCACGACATTATTGGAGAACAACAACCTCCTCTGCTTCGTATTCCAGGTGCTCAAGACTTTCTTACCTAATTCGCTCTCTGGACTCCTCTCCACGCTCGATGTTCCGATTAGGCTAGTGACCGACACGCTTGCACAACCACTATTGAGTTTGTCCTGTCCCGCCTGGAAGGATCTGACCGAGGGCGGTGAGCCGCTTTGGGATGCCCTGCAACACCAGTTCGCTGGAGCAGCTCAAGCTGGATCCAGCCTCTAAGTCAGCTTGACAAAGTAAATACCTAGATGGTCGAGTGCAAACTACCCCATATGTAATTATTAATCTACATGAATACCGTGTTGTACAACCACACCAATATTCACCCAATCCAATTTGAACCTCTTTCAATTACTCCCCAGTCTCCACAACCCCCATGCAACCACAACTTGTCTCGCCTGTATGTACGCCAAGTCACCCCAACGCGCAGATCTTCCACCAAAAAAACCATGGCACATGATTGCCGCTCCCATCAAGCTTTATTGAAAATACTACGTAGTACAGCATTCAACCCCTCCCCTCCCAGGCCGCGCTCCGAATTTCAGCCGACACCCCAAAGTATATCTCCTTCAGTACTATCAACTGCACAGCATAGGATCCACGATGCAGATCTGCGGCATTCACTTACTCTGCCGGGTCTTGTTCCCGTGCTCACGTCAGTTGACCCGTGTCGCCTAACTACAGCTAGCTAGTCTACGTAAGTTCCAAGTGTCGTTTAGAGGGGGAAAGAGTGACAAAGGGTGAATCCCGGGTAATCCGATTTGTGCCGAACCGCGTTTGTGGAGCTGTTTAGACTTTTGTAGCGTGTAACAGCAACGAGGCTTTTGACAAGGTACGTGGTGGCGGGATGGAGAGAGAGATATCGTATTTTTCGTGTAAAGCAGGGAGTATATGGCGCAAGCGGTGCGTGTTACGGTGAATGTGAGATTCAGAAACGGGGACAAGACCGGAAAAAGGCTTAATCGCATGAAGATGACTGTGTTTGTGTGTGTAGAGTATCAGCCACTGACGTCTTACTGGAAACGCGTGCATCGATCGGGGGGTTTGATCGTTTGAGATCTGAGCTTGTTCTTGTCTCTGAATGTATTTGCTTGTGAGTGAGGAAGTAGTCTTGTCGAAGTTTCTTCTCTGGCTCGTCTACGAAGGACGTTTGCAGCTAGAAATCAAGACAACAGCGTAAGCTGTGTCGAGACGGTTTGTTCCAAGAACTGATAGATCTTGTGAATGGAAGTAGATATATTCGGTCATGTGATTGAGCCCATCCCGTGCTGACAGTGCTCCAAGAGTTCCATCAGTTGCCTTACACGCGACTCGGCTTCTAAGTGTTGCAGTACATCTATCAAGACAGTACTACCTTTTTTTGCAAGCAAAAACCATATCTCTGTGTATGCTCTTGCAAACTTTTGTACCAACTTGTCTGTACACTCACATGTTGTCCTTCGAGTAGAAAACTCTATTTCACAAACATGTTTCCTTCCACTGTTCTCTTCCCTCCTTTTTCAAGGAGAGATGTAAGGAAATACATTGACTTCTTCTGACTGCCCCTTTCCGTCATTTCCAGTAGTTTTACGGATGTATCGCAGAAGTCGACCCAGACCATTTTGAAGGTTTGCAGTGCTATCATGAGGCCTTTGAAACAGCTTGTTTTTCCTTCTGGATCTTCACCGCAGAGAGCGGAGAATACGCACCGTTTGTCATGTAATGATACTTAATAATAGCCTTCAAGTCAATGTGCTCAATCAAATTCAGTTGTTTATATGACAATTTATCTGTATAAGAAATCGTCTTTTCTTACCTGTGTCTTGTCATCTCCCCATTTTTTGTATTTCCATATTCAAGCTTTCGCCACGTAATTGATCGAGGTTTAAACCTCTCTCAAGACAACACTGGCTTATTAGACAGCGGGGTGACTAAATCAAGATAATACTATTGCAAAACAATTGCCTCTGCTACTTTGATAGGGTATGCATCATTCGTGAGTAGCATACTAGCTTAGTGTTTCTTTGAAAATAATGGCAGGCTTCACACTAACTTGCCAGTATCGGATGTATTAATCCTATAGATGGGCAGGTTAGGCAGTGCGTTACCACTGTCAGTCCTGTGCCTGAACCGTTTACATGCTCCAAAGGAGACTCTTAGATATCACATAAAGCCAACGACAGCAGCAATCTTCGTTGTCATCTTCATTGTATCTATACACATACTATTTTTTTCTGTTGTCTTTTCTGTATTGGATTACCTCTCGCTCCAATTGAAGAGCCCACCTAGTCACGCTCGAATCCATCTTTTATCAAATCTTAGCTATAAAAAATCATGACCCAGCCCCCATGAAATTTCCCACTACTCTCCCAACGTATACAACCGATTGTTTCCCTAGAAAAAGAACCCACACTCGCTACCATTCCACTCTGACCACAAAATTCTATGGCTAGTCTAGCTGCTCTGGCTACTCAATACCGCAACTACTGGATGCTACGGCTAACTATTGCTATATATGCTCGCCGCTCTGGCTATTACCTAGAACAATCAATATTCTGATATTTACTCCATAACTCCATCTAGGCAAAGAAAGATATTCTGAACGTCTTAGCAAATCTTTGAAAACATAGAGACGGAATTATTCCAGAAAATTGAATTGCGTAAGTTTCATATAGGAAATACCACTTAAACTATCAAGACATGCAACTCGTGAGGTAACCATTGAAGCAATGTTTTTTTTTCGCACAGAGCGCTTAGCTTCTGCCTTTAATTATCATCATTTGATTACTTACCTACTCGCACGTAGAACCTACATCTATGATCCGTCTTCGATACCCACATCTATTTCTAATCCTCGCAGCACTTTCTTTTTTGACTTGTACTACTGTCACTCTACACGGGAAAACAAGATAATTTCTCGTTGTGAAAATAGCAATAGTAAGACATGCAGGATATGTTGTCATCTGTTCTGTACAAAAGCCACATATACAAATAGCTGTTACTAGCAGAGTTTTGATCAAAGAGAAGTAGGATTTTTTTGCACGAAACACGCAGATAGAATAATATGCATTGTTAGTGTCTCCATATGTGATCTGCCTACACTTCATCTAACCTTACAAGTCACATTTCTGAGCTATATTATTGCTTATTCGCTTTGACAGCAACAATCTACAAAACTATGCCATTCCAAGATCAACTCAACACACCCAACAAACGAAGTCAGCTGCATCTTCTTGCGTAAAAAATGGCCCATAACATGTCCCACTCATCTATTTAAACTATCGTACAACAAACAAACAAACAAAAAACGCCATAAAGATGCAAAACAGTATTACCCAACATAAAAGTCCGGGCAAGTGACACCTGATTAAACCCGCTTACTCACTCCCATAACCACCCTCAACCCCACACTTAACCTGCACAATCTCCGCTTTCCCCTCCCCATCCACGACAAGCGCGGTAAGCTTCCCCCCACTAACACACCCGGTATCGAGCCCAAACGAGTACTCATGCACATTAAGCCCCTTCTTTCTATTATGCCCATAAATGGCCGTCGTACGCTCCTTGGCCTTCAGTTTCTGCTGGCGATGGTTCCAGAATTTTTCCCAGGGGGTCCCGCCGTGCTTGGACGTGGGGATCCTCGTCTTGAGGTCGATACTGCGCATGTTCATGACGTGGAAGGGGTCTTGGTGCTCGAGCGGGATGTCTGGGACGAGGCCGGCGTGCACGGTGACGAGGGCACCGAGGTTGGTTACGGTGCCGACGCGGAGGATAACGGGGCATTGGCGGAGGTAGTCAATGTCCTTTTTGGAGAATTGCTTTGCGAGTTTTCGGAGTTTGGCGTTGCCTTGGGATGCGGTGGGTGCGCCGACAAAGTCGAGTTTTGCCTCGTCGTTGTCGGCAGTGGGCATGACGAGGACGTGGCGGTCTTGGGCTTCGGCGATGGAGAGGAGCAGTTTGTCTTCCCAGTTTCCGCGTACGCATGAGGCGCCGTATTTGCGGGCGAGTTTGATGACGCCGGCAGAGTCCGGGCCCTTTGCGATCATGTCGCCCGTCATGACGATGTGGTCGCGCGACTGGTCAAAGGCGACCTTGTTAAGGAGATGCTCAAGCTCTGCGCGGCAGCCGTGGACATCGCCGATGAAGATGAGGCGCTTGTTCTCCTTGGGCAAATGCTGCTCGTCCATGTCCGTGACCTGGATCATGCCCTTGAACTCGGGGCGCACCTGGATGCCGTAGCTCATGGTCGGCGCGTTGTCCATCAGATGCAGGTCCTCGACAAGTGCGGCACGACGCGGGCCAAAGTATGTCCACCAACTGGCAATGCCCAGGAAAAAGAGGAAAATGTATGCGGCGCAGTGGCGCTTGATTCTCCGTGGGATGCGGTCGGTTGTGCGGAGGATGGCGGCCTGGACCTTGGGTGGGAGGAAGAAGTCGTCTTCGCGTTGGTAGAATCCGTCTTCCTCGTCTGATACATCGAGGTCTTCGTGATAGTCTGGTATCAGCTCGATGAGGGGCCGTGGCCGGGTGGGCGGGTATGCATATGCATTGTGGTCGCGGTACGTCATAGGGCCGGTGGGTGTGCGACGTGTCGCTGTATACGTCTGGCAATGTTCTTTCTTGATATGTCGTTCACAGGGTTACGCGGCCCGGTTGGTTATGGCACTGTTGTATGCAAAAGACTGCGCCTGCGCTGTGTTGCTTGTCTTGTAGTGTGTGTGTGTGTGTGTGCGCTTGTTGATGGTGGATGCAAAGCCAATGAGTGATTTGCGCCTCGGATTCGCGATCTTAAATTCTTCACCGCTTGTACCCCGAGACAAGATAGTGGTATGTAAGTAAGTGGCGACAGTGCTCGAGCGAACAAGAGAATAGTGGCCAGATGCACGCCGGGTGCGTGTGGCAGGCTGCGTCATGTTGGACGCGGAAAGCCTCACAATAAGACCGCCCCTAGTACTGTTTCGCGTCGTCGCAGCTTGCTGCGCCCAGTACTATCTTCCATTGACACGCGGCCAATCCCTGGGTCACCCCTCCAAAGTACAAGCCTGTCGAACCCATACATCCTTGAGACTTGAAAGCATGGCCGAAATATGTGCAGATGCTGAAAATTGATTGATTTTCTTCATTTTTTTCCCTTTCATAGTATACAACTTGGCCCTATCAAACATGCCTCTCCCATCTTGACAGCCGCCTTCCGTCCCATACCCCCATCTACACCACCCTCATCATGCGCCTAGAAAAGCTCTAGTTCTTACAGCACGCTTTACAAGAGCCCTGCAGATTCAAAGTTAGCGTACGAACCTCTACCCGCGATGCCGTCCCATCTCCCATGCCTGATCCGACAGACGCCTTCTTCTATCCCCTCCACAAAATACTACTTACAAAGATCTTTTCAGACGTTCCAGCCCAACACTTTTGGGGCAGAGGTAGGCTGGCATGATAGCATGGCTCACATCCTTCTGGCGCCGGTACGGGTATTTGTCTTGAGTCGAGTACCGCAGGCTGTGCTGTGATCGTAACCAGGGCAAAGGTCTTCATAGTGTTTAAAGAAATGATTGTAGCACAAGATTGAAGTCCTGCAATCAGTATATGGATTGGAAATGTCGTACTAGTGAGTTGATCTTTTGGTGTCTATCCAGACTTCTATTTATTTCTTTGTCTTCACCATCGCGTGACTCCTCACTACGGCGGCAAGAAATTAATCCATAAGAATTCTATCAATCTGTTACAATATATACATCGTATTCAAACTCTGTCTAGTCTTGAACATCTACTTTTTTTTTACCTATTGCTGACACTTGGGTCCACAACCGTTGTCAGAGCATCTCAACCCACTACTCATAGTTAGCCAGGGTAAGTACACACCAAATCTACACATATATGCCTTTAATTTTTCTATTACATAAGCCCAGAAGTGAATCGGCTATGTTTGTATTGGTGTAATTATTGATGATATTTCCAATGTAGTTTAGCGCCTACTTCCGCACCTTAACAATCAATATACATAACATCGGTCGTTCTCATGCTAACAACGGTCTCAGCCATCCCATATCCTTATCGTTCCACTCGAACCAGGCCCCACTCCATTCCATGATGCTGCGCTCGAAAAAGTCTGAGTCACTCCGCATCGTCGTGCTCGGCCAGGCTCAAGTAGGCAAGACTTGTTTCATCGACATGGTAAACCATCACCATTCTCTTGTCCCACACACAACACGTGAACTATTGCCCGCGCAACCTTGGTCTCTTTTTTTGATGATTTTTTGACTCGTTCATGCCAGTTCCTTGAAGGCACACATTTCATCTCCCACTCCGCCGTCTCGTCCATGCCCTTATCCCGCCGCATCTCGCACTCGGGTGCTTCCTTCACCCTCTCCTTCATAGATTTGGATCTCACGGGACCCATCGCGCCCTCGTACCGCAAGATAGTCGAAGAATATCTCCGCATCGCAGACGGTATAGTCCTGCTCTACGACATCATTTGCAACTTGTCCTTTACCAGCGTGACCCATGAATTCTATGTTTATGCTTGGACGTGTCGAGATGGTATTGCTACCAAAGAGGCAGATGATCATTTGACTAAAAAGCGCTTTGGATGCGTGCTTGTTGGCAACAAGCGCGACGTCATTGTTGGTGAGGATGCATCGAAACGTCAAGTGGATAAAAATATGGCCGAGCAGTGGGCAAGTAGTCAGGGCTTGAAGCATTTTGAAATCACTACGAACGAGCGGGGTGAAGTAGAGGAGGTGGTCAAGGCGCTTGTGGACAGTATAGCAAGAGCGAGGCGTATGGATCAGAGGGACAAGGCGAACGGGGCAACAGAACAAGGCGGGTCCATCATGAAGTTATTCAAGCGTACCGCTTAAAGTTGATGTAAAGGCAAAAGTGCTGCAACCCGTATCTTGAGCTTGAAATTAATGATCATGAAGCATGAGGTGCGCATTGTGTAAAAATCCCATAGAGTTCATGTACGCGCCTTTGAGCGCTGTGGTGCAGTGCTACAACTTAACGGAGGAAAGCATTCTGCCAGGAATACAGCCGTGGATATAACACAGAACTCAGCTGAAAAAAAGATAGTGTGTCTGGGAATGAAGTTGAATGTTTTCATAGAGTCTTAAGTAACAAGCCAGTGTTGTACGACCAGTTAATAGTGTCTAGGCCGGCACCGGGAAATGAGCCCCTCACCAGTAGATGCCCAGGGTCTAGCGTTTCGGACGTGCAGTATCAAATGCATACATACAGGCGGGGTCTTCCGCTAGAGACATGTCATATCAAAAGGTTGAACCACGGTACCCCTGCGAGTACTAAAGGTTCATTCCACCCCAAATCCCTGGCTGTATATTGGATTAGGTGAACTTCCATCGCTTCGCAAACTCTATTCCTTCTGCCAAAGTGCCGACTCTTGCATCGATGGCGTATCCTTCTTTCTCGAGAGCAATGCACTCGTCCCATAGGCTTTTCAGTGGGACCGAGAATGTTTCAATGAATTCGTTATCCTCAAGGCTCGGCTGTGGATTGCGATTCTCCGGACGAGACAAATCGACAGTAACGTGTATCATTCTCAGGTTGGTATTGCAAAAACCTGGATCTGTGCGGGTGCTCAGTTAGTGGAGACGCGGAACGGCACGAATGGCTCCCTTGTATAATGGTCCACATGTTGGGCTTTGAGTCGGTCAACATAGCAAGGATGCCAGTGTATCGACTCGGGTGATATGGTTATACACGACTTACCGTTGAACATGACAGGGCTAATTCGAAACTAGTGATGGGGGTAGAAGATCAGCATGTCTTCCTGTCAGTACGCGAGAAACGTGACTTACGGTTTGGTCTTTGACTAGCTCGCCAATGTAGCCCGTCTCCTCTTTGAGTTCGCGAAGCGCACACATTTCAGCACTCTCACCAGGATCCATGAGACCGGCTGGAACCTCGATGACGGTGGCATTGACTGGCGGGCGCCATTGCTTTTGGAGGACGATGCGCGGTTCGTCGGTTGGCTTTGCAGGATCTTGAAGAATGGCTGCAACGCCGACACCGTCAATATCAGTATCCTTGGGTCGCGTAAGACGCTCGCCAGACTCCCAAGTGCGCTCGACGCCTTCGGGATCCGTGTAGGTAGTTCTAGGGAAAAATTTCAATGCCAGTGCGTCAAGGACGACGATTCAGCTACGCACTTGATGAATGTGGCCCACTTTGCGTCCTTGTTTTCCAGCGGCTCAACCTTGATAATCTTTGGCTTCCTCGGTGCACTGCTGACTGAAGCCATAATGGGGTTGCGGAGCTGACTTAATGCGGGGGCGGATGTGGCGTGCGGTCGATGTCAGCCGCTAGTTGCAAGCCCTATGACGGCATACATCGCGAGTGCCTGCCAAGAGCCTCCGAGCAAGTACGAATGACCAGCCGTGTCTTCAATTTGAACGTGATAAGAGTGTCGCCTGGCAGCGCTCATGTGCACATCTACCGTCATTAAAAAAAATGCTTTCATTTGGTATGCAGCCGGTGCAGGAATTTGGCTTCGTACTTGACGAGTCTATATGGGTGTGCGCTGCCCGTAACCATGGAGAAGGCACAGGCCTCACATGTACAAAGGAATGCTTTCAAGGCGCTGTTGAATGATTTGCAGTTGCTTGTCACGAAGCGGGATCATGATGTTCAGATAAGAAAGCGCAACTAGGAGCGGAAGAGACAAGATGCTGACGACCCTGTCGATCTCCGTGATTTTGCTGAATGGCCCATGGAGGAAAGCCGCAGGGCATAGTGTCACTTCCTTGTTCGTAAGTACATACGACACGCTGCTTTTGCAACAACACCACGCTAATAAGTCAACTGTTGACCTGCACACGAAGTTTTTTTCCGAAGAGTCATGTTAGGCTTATTGCAGCGAACTTACCAGTAATGCCGCCGAACGAGAGTTGCTACTAAATCCTGACTAGGAAACGCATTAATATCGGTTCTCTTGGTGGGGACCGCGCTAAACCCTGCTCTATTGATAGTTTGTCGGAGACAATAATAGCGAAAGGCGGCGTGCGGCGTAGGTTCAGTAAGTACTTAGAGAAGGCCTTGGAGTCCATGGCATTACGACCTGTAATCTCGCTGCATCGCATTGGCCACGTTGTGGCGTCATAGAAAGAAATCACAGTGGTGAGGCTGCGGGCCACGCTACCGGACCACGGCTGTCGTTGGCGCGAACAAGTACGAGGCTATAGGAGAACGCGACCGTAGAGGCGCCAGTAGCCGAGCTTGGCTAGGGGAGCGAGCTTTTCTGTACAAGAGTACTTATGTAAACAAGTAATCGTTCCCCCTGTCACAGCAGCCACGGCGGGCATGGGACGACGCAACGGCTGAAACCTGACGTGGCAGATGACGCCTGTTGGCACATACTAGCCGGTTGGCCGTGCAATAAAGCATCTTGTCATGACGATGCTGTTGAGGCGCTGGCGGCGGCATGGGGAACTGCGGCCCTCGCCCGGAATGGCTGCGCAGTGGGTCGTCGTTTTGCCGTCGCCGTCGAAAGCGGCACAGTGTGCACGACTGAGGGCGCAGAGTCAGAAGCGAGTTATAGGTGTTTCGTTTGGGCGGGCCTGAGCCAGTTGCATCGTAGTGCGACACGCCTCTAGCGATTTGGGCTGGTTACAGGGTAGTGGCTTTGCGCCCTCTGCATCATGTGCATCCACAAACCATGGCGTGGGACGGGGAAAGGGACAACGGTTAAAGGCACCTTGCACTCTGTATAGCGTGCATGCTATATCCACCTAGTAGGAGTCGTAGTACCACAGGCCAGAGTCGGGATTCGCACCATGACTGCCGAGCGAGCCGGGAGGTTACAGCCAGTGGCGGGGCGACTTCGGGAGACGTGCAAAGAGGTGTGGCGAGAGCGCAAGAGGGAGGGAGAGAGAGAGAGGAGAGAGAGAAAGGAGTGAGAAAAGCATGTGATGGCTGGCGAGTATGGACATGGGCATTGGCTTTCGCATGGGTGTTGGTGTGATGGCGCTGCAAAAAGAAAGATGCAGGGGCCTTTGGCGCCCGTGCCTTAGCCACTTTCGGGTGGCTTCTCCTGCCAAGCACCAAAAAGAAGTGGGGCAGTCTCGGCGGCCTGACCGTCCGCTATTTTGGTGCTTGTCGGCATTTTTACTCGACACACGACGGCCCAGCATGCCAACTATCACGCCTTTATCGCTTTGCCTCCATGCCCCCTTCCAAGGCTCGGATCACATGTCTGCGTCGGGCTGCTCGCCAGTGGCATCCTTCTGTTGGGCCCACAGCCGTTTGTTGCGCCATTCCCGGCGCTTCAGCACCATAGGGCTCTATGTGAGGCAAAGCAAGCAAGCAGTCGTCCTGACAGTGCGGGTGGAACTTGGGCCGGCTGGACCACCAATAGGTGGGATTTTACGAGCGCCCAGATTGCCATCGATCAAGAGCGCTGCCGGATCCTTGGGAGCACTGACTTCGGGGCAAGGCTGCCTTTGCATGGGTAACGGCTACTTCACAGCCAATATCCTTAGCGTATATGCGTGAAACTTCTTTTCCTGGCAGTGCCTTGTCGGTGATTGGCGACTGATGGTCTCTTTTGCGGGCAGGCATTAACACCCGAGTTCCTTACTCCGCTTTTAGATCCCAAAGCATGTGTGCCCACGCCGGATGTAGGTACGGATGGCGCCAAATCGCCCAGGAAGACAGCGATCCCTTCTGGACCTACTACCCTCATTTATCCCCCCTTCCCTCCTCGCTCCTTCGTCTAGCTTTGGTTTTTCAGGAGTTTGCTTCCCCGATCCGATCATTACTGGTGTGCTTCCGTCACACGTCCTTTCGTTTCTCACAGCTACTATATTGTCTATACTGCGTATTCTGACTGCACATATTCTGCATCTTCGCCCATCACTCGTTTGACGGCAAGACAAAACAACTCTACAACTAATCAGGAAAGAGCGTACATCCTCTCCTAATTTGGATCGTCACCACACCTTGAGCACCGGGCCACTGGAACACTACCTTGGAGATTGTCGTCGGTACATCACCAATCCCAGAAGACTACTTTCCCTACGATACCCCGTTTTGGACACCACTGTCCGCTACCCTAACCACAATGGCGAACTGGTTTGGAAACCTTGACCTGGCATACAAATATGTGTAAGTTGCCGTACACACCGGCTAGCGAAACAAGACTGATCCGTGTCAGTATCGTATTCGTGAGCTTGCTCCTCATTACCATTATTGCTGGATTCATCAAGGTGCTATACAACCGACAAAGGTATGTCGAGCGAACAAAGTAATACCTTGCAGGAGCTTACAATGGGAACAGGTTAAAGAAGGCGACCAAGGCCGAGCTTGAAGCTGGGCCCAAGGAGGACACCGTCGAGCTAAACCAACGCGAGAAGGATGAGGGAGATTTGTTTGGTATTCGGGCCATCGAGGCAGGTTTTTATGCTGGTGTTGCTCAGTCGCGCCCTACGTCGAGGGCAGGATCCATCGTTAGCAATCACCCGGGAGCCATGAGCAACAGCACTCTGGTTGGAGGCAGCGCCAGCTCGCCACTCATGAAGGGCCAGTCTGCCAACAACAGCACGCTCAGTCTGAACCTCAGTGCCGCCGATGCCACTCGCCGTCCTCCACCTCCAGCCATGAAGCTCCGTCCCTCCGAGGCTGAACTCAGCGGAAGACACAACCACATGGTCGACATGTCGCTTCAAGTTCCCCCATCACCAGGTGCTCCTCCTCGCGATCCTCAATCTATGACGTTTGGTTCTTACGAGCACGACAATGACAACTTCCGACTTTCCGATACCATGGCATATGACTCGTCTTCGGGCCAATCGCCTTACAACCCTCCCACCACTCAGCTGCCTACGCTCCCAGGCCATGCGCTGAGGAAAGAATCCCGATCGCCATCGCCTGAGAATGGATACCCTCGCGTGCAGGTTCACGAGCCGAGTAGGTAGCCAGCTCCCTGGTGCGTTGATTTTTTGTATTTTAGCAAATTTGGTAGTTACATACTATACTGGGCCCCTCCCTAACTTTTGACCAAAGACTCTGAGCATGCACAATATTCGTCGTCTGCTGTCCCCGCCCGACTCCAACCGCGCGCATACTCTTCCTACTGTGAAGGAGGAAGCGAGGCAAGCAGCATGTACAGCAGCAGCAACAGCCACACGGGGCTGAGCGCATTTGGAGTAGTGTACCACACACCGGAGCATAGTAATGTGCAAGGACAAGAGGCGGAAAGATTGGCGAGGGAACGGCCACTATCCGATTCTTCGACGGCCATGTCTGGGCATACGTCGATCCTGGGGTCTATGATCAGCGAGAGCGAATCACAAGCTCGACAGTCGGGTCTTGTTGCGCCTGGGCAGTCAGGGGCGACGGACTCGCGGTTAAGCGAATTCTACGAGGCTTACTACCGCAACTCGCATGTTGGGCCGGCGCAGTCTGTTGAGACGATGCAACACACTCTGGACAGACGATCGGTCATTATCGAAGTCGACACGCCCTTGGCGTCGCCCATGGTTTCTGGGCAACCCGGGACTGCGTTTTGAGATTGATGGATATATGCACGCCAGTGTCAGTAGCAAGACATGGTCGGAGCTATGGCTGCAAGACAACATGGGCCTCGGATGGACCCAGGATGCTTTCTCTTTTCTTCTTCTTCAACTGGGACGGTTGAACTCTGGATATTCATGCGGTTGGGAAAATGTGAACTTGGGGTTGGGACTGGCGGGAAAAAAAGATAGGGTGACGAGTGTTATGTCTACTTTCTAGGCAAAAGGGTTTTATTCACCACGACACGACACGGGGGAAATTCTGGTTACTATTCTCTTCGGATTGCGTATTACACATTTACTTTAGGCTGGTTTGTACAGGTCATGGTTGGTGTTTAGTTGGTAATGTGTGTATTAGTATCGATAAGTAATCGGATGGGGTGCTTCACAGGATGCACTGTAGCAGCCTGGTAACATCAAAACTCGACCGTAGATACATGTGCATGAGTGTTGTGCAGGAGGTGTCGATAAGGCTGCCAGCCCTGTTTCCTTAGCCACTGACCGTGTGACTGCTAAAAAGACGATGATGGTGTGAGGCCAAGTCAGTTTTGCGGGTGAGGCCATGTTCACGCCATGCTGGCCAATGAGCGTGCAGGAACCGCAGCCCCTGGCAGAAAATAGAAGGCGGTGAAGGCGATCCCTGTCGTCGACATCGACGCTTAAGATCGTAGGTTCGCCACGCCCGGGCATCAAGGCAGAGTGACGAGTAAAAGCTGCCGGACCCTGTCAGCCTTTCTGCCCTCGCATCTCGTGTTTTCTTGCCTGTAATTGTTTACGGCCTTTTTTTTACAACCTCACCCTCTGGTCCTATTCTACCTGGCCCTGTTGCTTTTGGCTGTCCAAATCACCTGCCTCAAGCCCCAACACTCTTGCTTGCTTGCTTGCTTGTTTTGTTATCGCAGCCTCCACCGCCCTCACCCACCACCAACGCTTTCAGCTGGGCCCTCGACCCGGCCCATAATAATCGCAGCCATGCTCACCATGTATTCTGGCACCAAGCTCACCGAGCTACCGCCTGGTGTCAGCGCCACACATTCTCCACAGCTGCGCAAGAGAGGCTCGTCGACGCAAATTGCGCCCACGGCCCAAGCCCTAGACACCACAGACTCTCGCGAACAAAGGCGGCGCATCCACCACGAGGCAGATGTCGTCATTGTCGGTGCTGGCATTCTGGGCTGTGCTGCTGCCGTCGCATTTGGCAAGCAGGGCAGGAGCGTCATATTGCTGGAAAAGAGTCTCAAGGAGCCTGACCGCATTGTCGGCGAGCTGCTGCAGCCTGGCGGTGTAAATGCGCTTGAGAAACTGGGCATGAGGGGTACGCCATGTCTGTGTCGATCAGAGAGTGGGATGCTAACAGAATACTACAGACTGCCTCGATGACATTGACGCCATTCCCTGCTATGGTTACCAGGTCATGTACCACAAAGAGCAGGCTCACATTCCCTATCCCGACAACCTGATTAAAGGCGCGCCCTCAAAGGCACCCGAAGGTCGCTCCTTTCACCACGGCCGCTTCATCTCCAAGCTCCGCGCAAAGGCAAAGGCGACGCCTAATGTCACCGTTGTTGAGTCGACAGTCACGTCGCTGGTCAAGAGCGACCACACCAACCAAGTCGTAGGTGTATCTTGCCAAACCGACGGCGAACAAGACTACTTCTTTGGCGCTGTGACGCTGGTAGCCGACGGCTATGCATCAAAGTTCCGCAAGGAATACATTCCTCACCAGCCCCAGGTCCGCAGCAAGTTCTGGGGTCTAGAGATGATTGACGCCCAGCTTCCTGTCCCGAACCACGGCCATGTCATTCTCACCGACGCACCTCCGATCCTCATCTACCAAATCGGCACCCACGAGACGCGTATTTTGATCGATGTACCCGAGAACTTGCCCTCGGCGTCGCCCAAGAACGGCGGCATCAAGAACCATATGCTCAACGTAGCACTCCCCCGCCTTCCCGAATGCGTACAGCCCGCATTCCGCAAAGCAGTCGAACAAGGCAAGCTCCGTAGCATGCCAAACTCCTTCTTGCCTCCTTCCACGCAAAAGCAGGCTGGCCTCATCATCCTCGGCGACGCAATGAACATGCGCCATCCATTGACCGGCGGCGGCATGACGGTCGCTTTCAACGACGTAGTCCTTCTTTCGTCTCTCCTCTCTCCCGCTAATATCCCTTCGCTCGAAGACTCCGAGGCCGTTCTCGCCGCCCTCGGAAAATTCCACTGGCAACGCAAGAACGGCACCAGCGTCATCAACATCCTAGCCATGGCCCTGTACTCGCTCTTCGCCGCAGACAACGTCTACCTCGAACTCATCAAGAAGGGATGCTTCAAGTACTTTTTACGTGGCGGTGCCAGCGTCGCAGAGCCAAGTGGCATGTTGGCTGGTCTGATTACACATCCCTGGATGCTGGTCTATCACTTTTTCTACGTCGCCGTGTATGCTATTTATGTCCGGTTGGCCGAGGTTCCCTTTTACATGATCCCATGGACATTGATTGTCGAGAACATCATGGTTATTTGGACGGCTGTCTGTGTTATCGGCCCTTATATCATTGCCGAGGCGAAGAGTTGATGAAAAAGACGCAAAAACGAACGAGCAAACGTTGCATGGAAACCGACCCTTTTTTTCGCTTGTATATACCTCTTTGTGGTTTGATCAACGCTCGCTGTATGTCCTTTATACGGACGCCTGGGGTGTCTGGACAGTTAGCTGGTGTTGAAGGTAGTTGGATTTTTTTTTTTACATATGATAGTAATTGTAATTTGTATGACATTCAAGCCAATCTATTGCTGTCGATACTTTCATGTGTAATTTGAAATGCAACTTGTGCATATGGATAGTTGGTCCTTTTCAAGTTTCTTAACATGTACGCTATAATCTACGAAAAATATTTACCTCTTTTGAAACGCGACAGATTAACAGGCATGTTCCTCCATCTCCATAGCTAACACATCACTCGCCAACCCCCTTACTCATCACAAGTCTATAATGAATCCTCTCAGGTTTTACTTTACCGTCACACCCCTCCCCACTCAAAATCTCTACACATTCCATTCAAAAGGGAGAAATGATAAACAACATTCTGACACAATAAGGTAGTCTTTTGATTCCATATCCGTCTGATTCCTTTCTAAATGGAAGATGTGTGGGGATATCAAATATTGCTTAGGAGGGAGAGCGGGGATAGTACACAAAAGAGTAACATTGTATCTTAGACAAGATAGGATAAATCTCAATCACGAAAAAAAAAAACAGAAGTTGCTTTCGCAAGTGATTCATTTTTTTTGGTTTGTTTGGAGAGAGAGAGAGAGAGACGGCTTTGCACAAAGGGATGATAGATTCGATGTTGAAACGTGATTTCTTTAATTCTGACAGTAATCAGTTAAGGAAGTAACCAATGTATATTATTCCTACAAGGGTACTATAGTCCGTTTTTTCTGTCTTCTGGTCATACACGAACGAATAAACAGAGAGAGAGAGAGAGACAGAGGGAAAGATGGACAAATCTACCTCTTATTGTACTTATAATAAATATATAGTAATATAGTATGTAATTAACATGGTATCATCGTAGTCCCATTAAATTTGTACAGAAAAAAAAAATTGGATAAAGATGAACAGAAACGAAAAAAACGAAAGAGAAAGAGAACTTAGCCTCCTCCCCCCTCTCAATCCTTGCAAATTTGAAGACCTCCCCCATCCACCGAGAGATTTGTTAAGAGAGAAAGTGTGTGTGTGTGTGTGTGTGTGTGTGTGTGTGAAGCCGTCTGGAAAAAAAAAACTTTCTGCTCCTGGCTTGGACCTCTTCTCCCCTCCGGAAAACCATCCCCTCAGCCTTTCCCCTTGAAACAAAACCCGTAGAATAGAAAGAAAGGAAGAGAGAGAAAGAGAGAAAAAAACCTACCCCAACCATGAAACAAAAGGTGGAAATGTGGTTTTCAAAAAATCTCCAAGCCCTCAAAATCGACACACAAATTTCTCGCTTGGAACCTCCCATCACCCGCGGACTCGCCATTCGCCGCTCTCCTCGCATCAAACATGCTGAGGCCAAAGTTAGCCGGACGACTAGCATACACGCCCACCCTGACCGCCTTATCCTCGACGCCCCAGAAAAACCACGTCACCTCCCTCAGCTTCTTCCAGCCGACCAAATCATCCTCGTACCATACCCAAAGCGCATAGCCAATCCGCTCAATCTTCACCCGCAAGTCGTAGCGCCGCTGCTGGTGCGCTGGGAGTGCCGAAAGCGACCAGTCGGCGCCGTCAGAGTTGGCAACCACAGAGGTCGCGTGGCAGGCGTTGTTGCAGAATTCGAGGCCGACTTTGACCCATTTTGAGGCGGGCGGCTGCTGCACTGTTGGGTAGGCGGGCGGGGGTCCGCGGCTGTCGACTACTACTGGCTGGGGTCCAGTACCAGGCGGGCTGGGGGATGGTGGTTCCACGTTTCCAAGATTGCTGGCTATCGACGTCTGAGGCAGTGATGACGTCGCACGCCTCTGTGTCGCGTCGTCGTCTTCTAGCAAAATGTCTGAAATATTGGGCACCTCGAGGGTTGTTGTTGTTGTTGCCGCCGCCGTCGCCGTCGCCGCTGCTGCTGCTTGTTGTGCTTGTCTCGCCGCCATTTGTCCTGGCGGTGTGCCCGCGAATATCACCAACCCCCCTTGATCCCATTCCAACTCCCAATCAGCAGACACGGTGACTTCAGCGGCTATGAAAGGATTGCGCAGCGCCGTGTAGAGTATCGGGGCCGTGGAAACATCACCAGATGGAGGCTTTCTCCAAAGGTCGGTATTTGGGGGCGCTGCCAAGGTGAAGGACCCTAGCCATTCAGGCACAATGTCGTCCGAGACATTGAGAGGCGTGAAGGAGGAGCTCGCAGGCGGCATCGTCTCGGTGGTTTGCGGGTTTTGGCCGTCTGGCGGGCCTGGGATGGGATGGCGTATATATGGCTATCAAGGGCTTTGGATCGGTAGTAGACGTGGGCAGTTCCGGTGGGTTGCCGAGTAATAGTGGTTGAGTGTTGTCTAGCTCTGTGTGACCAAGCTCGGAAGGTCATTCGCTTTGGCAAAAGCAAGGGTCCGGCTTATGTTTGGCTTGGGCAAGCATGTCAAATGGACCATAGATCTGCAAGAGGGATCGTGAGAGGCGCCCGCGCGGAAAGCCGTCAAGGAAGCCTATCGCACGGTCAGCACGAAACCGTTCCATGTCATAAGCGCGCCCCTTATACGGCGCCCGTTCGTTTGCGCCTCAGCACCTGTGGCTGCGTGCATCCCACGCGTGCCAACGACACATTTGACTTTTTCAATGCGCTTTGCTCACCTTTGGCTGGGCGGCTTGTCTGGCGTGCTCTCTTGCAACCTGGAACCTAGAGCCTGGAACCTGCTACGTGGGCACGCAGAGAGGAGCGGCCCAGAGTTTATATAGTAGTAGATACTCTGTCTGGTAGTGCTTGGCTTGGCCTAGTCGCCCGGTAGCTGATGGTCATCCAAGCTGAGACGGCTTGCCACCGCAGATGGTCCAGCAGCTACGCGTCATTGCCATTGCACTACGCGACGTGGGCGTCAGCCAGTCCCAGGAGTCATTGTTGCGTCGGTCCCAGCGAACGAGTCTGGTAGGAGAGGGGCGAGACGAGCAATTGCCCAAGGAACACGGGCGCCAGCTGGAGCGCAGAGGTGAGGCGGCCTAGGAGAGGCGATATTTCTCAGCCCCGCTGCTGCGCTGACAAGAAAGCGTCGAAAATTTTCTCCCTCATCTCTCGCGCCTGAGGACGTTGCTCGGGAGGGGGGCAAACGCGGCTAAACGGTGTGATGGTGTTTTGCTTTTCTTCCTCTTCTTCTTCTCAGCTGCGGGCAGCCGTTGCTGACTCCAGCATGCTGGCTGGCATTTGCGAGGTTTGTGTTTTCGGGCGAGGCTCGATGCAAGATTTGGTGGCAAGGACGGACGGGTGTGTTGCAAGGTTTCACAGCAGAAGAGATATGTTTTGCATATGCCCTTGCAAGCCCGTAGGCGCTCGGTATCATTGGGCTTTTTTCCCCTCCCCCGCATACATACGTAATCGAGAGGCTCGCGCCGAAGACGGCTGCCGCTCGTGGCTACACTTCCGGCATGCCACCGCCGCCCTGCAAATCTGGCGATGCGTGCAGTGCAGTGCAGTGCGTTTCTTGTCAACCAAAAGCCACCCTACGCCCTCCTGTATTGCCCGCTATATTGGGCAGCATGGCGTGTCCCAGTCGCCCAACACGCATGCACGTTGTCTTCCGCCATGCAGCCATCCGATGGTGTGTTGTTCATGTTTGATTCAGCGCCCCGTCTCTCTGCCAGAGGCCATTCGTTCATGATTGGCAGTACTGTGTCCAGTCTGTGCACTCGGTATCAATCCAGCTGTGCTGTTCATTCTCAGTACCACACTCGGGGATAGAAGGCAAGCCTCTGTTCTATCGGCAGCATGCACTGGCTGTAAGTAATGTGCTATGTAGCTTCTGCACATCCTTCCGGCTGTCGTACAGTGAGGCCAAGACGTGAACTGCCCTCAATAGAATGCCAACTTGGAAAATGAAACAATACGTGTGTATGTATGTATGTACGTTGCTCCTGTATCTTGCGTGGCTCAAGGAGGGCAACCATTCATCTCGGCTACACGAGAAGATATTCACTGTAGTGCCCATCTCGCATCCAGAAAAGATCAAGACTGCAGGTCCCGATGTGGAAGCGACATCCTCTCGGCCCCGTTTTGATGTGGAATGAAATGAGGCCACGTGCCTAGCACGGTCACCTATTTTATCCTGCACTCTTGACAAATACTCTACTATCCATGACTACAGACTGATTCATACTGATTCACCAATTGCCCCAACATCACTCCACATTCAAGTGCTCCTCTTACCTACTATCCATCAACACAACCAATGCTTGGTAGTTCACAAAGGAGGGAATTTTTTTCCCCTGCAAACCACGCCGTGTCTCTTCTGAACGATCTGCAACCTACACGTGCATCTGACTGTCATGACACGGTAGTTACCGGCTGTTCGTTCGTCCCAATGCTCGACAGACTAATATGTTGTCGGCTCATTTCCCGACCACGTCACAAAACCATAATTTAATTGATACTTAATTGCAGAAGACAACCTGGCTGTCGGTGAGGCCAAGTACATTGGGTAGCATCAAAACCACGCTCGGATTCAAACTTGGCCGAAATGGCCCAAAGTTTGAACCTTTGCCTAGTGCATTACCTTATCCGACTACAAGTGGTTCGATGAGTAGGGATATACATATCATTTGGCACATGTCAAAACCTCCGAGAGACGGCTATCGCTAGCTCTTGCACCGTGACCTTGTGACAACTGCTAGCGCCAAATCGCGACATGATGTGTAGTAGCTACTTCCTCATCCGTGGTGTGGCCAATCAAACATCACGCCTTCAATAGTCGCAGTCACAGTCAACACTCAACTATGATAATACAAAACCTGTAATGGTGCCAGTAACATGGCAAGAAAATTGCTGCAATTTCTACTCGTGGGTCGATCTTTACTCACTTTGTGCTGATGATCGTACGATGGTTGAGTTTGAAGAACCTGGATTAGTGAGGAGAAAGATCGGCAGACAGGGGATAGACCGGGACACAAATCGTGAACTGTGGGGCGGAGTTTTGTCACTGAGGATCTTGGATACGAGCCAGTCGAGATCCTCAACCCGCACACCAAATTCCCATGATTCGTAAAACGGAAATAACCATTTGTGGAAATGCGTGCGCCACAGTGTCCAGGAACAAGCCAAGGAACAAAGAGGTCGAGTAGTCCGGTCAGATCGTCTTCTGGAAAAAAAATCATGGCAAACTACGACTACTAGAGTTTGATTGCCCGGGCAGTGTGAAACGACGTGCAGCTGGCTTTGGGATCCCTACCGATAGTAATTCTAATAGTAATGGACGTTTTGGTGTTAACCAAACCGTTCGGTAGCGTTATAGGACCACATTCAGAGGGGGCGGATGTTTCAAATCTACCAGTGGATAATATCGTCAGGCTTTTTGGTAGACGTTGATGCGCCGAGGAAGGGCGTCTGATGAAGCGCAGAGGTGCAAGCCTTGGTCGCGGAGAAGTTTGTCAAACGACTCTTCTGGACGGTACTTTAGGTTATTCAAGGATTGTTGAAAGTGTGGAGCGTGATTGGGGCGAACGGCCTTGAGATACGAGTCCCACGGCTGGAGCTCGATAACAAGATACCCGCCAGGTGCAAGCGAGTTGCTGCATTTGGCGAAGAAGGCGACCAGGCCTTGGTCGCCATGCTCGAGATGGATCCATTTGATGACGGATAGAGCTAGGATCACATCATAAGTGTCTTGGAATGGATGGCCGGTGGGCAGGGCCCAATCCGCGGCGACGAAGGTGACGCTCGGCATGTTAGCCAACCAAGGCGACGGGTTGGGTGCAGCCTTGCCTTGGGGCTCTATGCGATAGCCATGGGTGAGCAGGGCCGAGAGGGGAAAGTAGTCGACAACGGGCGACGAACTAGCGGTAGGGGGCCGACGACGGGAGGCGCGCAGAGCGTAAAGCTTCTCGGCCTGGCCAACTAGGCTAGGATCTATATCGACGCCGGTCACGGAGGCGGCGTCAAAGTCAAAGGCTGCACGTTTGATCAATATCAAGCACATGGTTGTTCATAGTCGGTTCGACAAGACGAGCAGGGGTATCCTTGGCAGCCACTTACCAAGTTGAACACTGACGCTGCCTGCGTTTGCGCCCACATCCAAACAGTGCTTGGCGGTGAAGATGGCCGGGATCAGCATATCCAGGATTTGCAGTCGTGGGTCGACAACATGAGTGGCAGAGGCAGGTTGTTTGGAGACGCCACTATAATCTGCGGCGCGGAGTCAGCAACGGCTAGTCGAGGCAACCTGTGCCGAGCGGCCGGCCAATTCGAGTAAAGGCAGGAGGGGGACAAGGAACCGTTCAGGGCAAAGTTTGGCGGCACGCACCTTGGTAGTTTCCAAACCTGGTAGCCATGGCGGCAGAGTCGAGCCAGGGTGCTTGTTTAGCGGGGGTGTCGATCGCGACGGGGGCGCAGGTTCTTGGGGGTGGCCTGTTGCGGGCGAGTGGCGACGTGATTCATGCGATGGGGCGGCGATGAGTTTGGGCGGAGGGATGGGCGAGGGAGAAGGAGATGGGCAGATGGGCGAGGCGAGGCGAGATGAGATGAGATGAGATGAAGCTAACGGGGAAAGGGTCGGGTAGGGGAGGGGGAGAGGCAGATGAAGATGGAGATGGAGATGGGATAGGGATGGTGGGTGGCCAGTGGTGGGATGGGATAGTAGTATAGTAATAGTGGATATATACAGTAGAGCAGAGCAGGAGTAGAGCAAGAGTAGAAAAGGATTTGCGAATGGGGACGAGTGGGTGTGGGTGTGAGTGGGTGAGTGGGATGGCAGCAGCAGCAACAGAGGGAAGGAGCTCGCGTAAAGGGCCTAGCACGGCAGATCTGCCTCTCTCTGCCTCTCTCTGCCTCTCCTGCTCTCTCTCTCTCAGGCTGGCAGCTCGTCTAGTCAATCCCTCAACCAGTCCAGTCCAGTCCAGTCCAGTCCATCCTCCCAATCAGTCACTCGCTCAATTAATTCCATCCCTCCAATCCAGTAATCGAGCAGTCCAGCAATCAATTCATGCACCCAACCAACCCATGTATTAGTTAAATGGAGGGCGCGAAGCGAGGGCCCATGAAGCGCGCAGGGCAGACAGGCCCAGGAGCAGCGAGTGAAAGCAGCAATGCGCCCGCCCAAGGTCGCACAGCGCGGACTTGGCTAGGCCAGGGTGAGCGCAGGTACGCTGGACGGGTGCTCGCCAGCGCGTGCCAGCAATACTTACTTACCTACGCGTCGACTATTAGGGGCTCTGCCGGCTCCACGATACGACTGTAGGGAGGTGCTTGCGCTCGGCCGCCCGCAAAAAGGCGGCATTTGCCAGGGTTGCAGTGCAACATGAGGGACAGGGTCCGTGGCAGGGCCCCAGAATCCGGTGCATGTAGGTAGGCGTATACTCGTCACCCACTATTGACGCAGTCGTCGTTGGACAGGTGACGGCGACGGCGACGGTGACGGTGACAATTAACGGCCAAAGGGCACAACTGCCGCAAGCCCACACACCCCATGGCGCCCTCTCCATCCCTCCACCTCCCCCTCTCCAAGCGGGCGGCGGCGTGATTCGCGTGAGACGGGCTCATGTATGTCTCGGGCTGTCGAGCACAAAGTTGCGCCTCTGCATCGCGCACTCTCCCAAAATCCCGGAATTGGGCAGACCCGTCGCTGACCCTGGTCGCCACTATGGCTCATCATTCACGCAGCGTCCGTGGCAGCAGACCCAGCAGAAAAGTCTCCACCGAGCAGCGGGGAGACAGACAGGAAAGACGTCGCAGGGCAGATCGCTTTTAGCCGCAACCCGCCGGCGTGCCATTGGATCTACCCCCCCGTGCTCTCTGGCAGATGAAGCTCTTCACGGCCTCAAGCCGAGAGCACTAAGCTGTTCGATTCGAGCCGTCCACACACACCCTTGCAACAGCGTTGCAGCTGGTCTAGGCACACACCCGCTTCGCAATGCTACCTCCGCTCCCTCTTGCCGCATCCCCCCTCCTCCCAGTCCTTGGAGCTATGTGATATCTGGCATGTTGCTCCATATTGGCTGCCCGCCGCGTTACAGCGTGCGACAGCCTGGCCCGCTGTGATTCGAAATCAAGCTGGCCTGCGAAACCCGCTCGCCATTGTTTGTCTCTCCATGGCCCTGGCCTCGACCTCCTTCTGGCGACGCCCCCACGAAAACACTTGCCAGCTGGCCGTGAGAACGAGGGGGGGGCGGAGAGAGACAGCAAGAGGCGCGCAGAGACCCAAAAAAAGAGAGCTTGTAGCGAGCCCCGGGTATGCTTCCCAAAACTCACTGCTGCATGTGGTCCAGATAGAGGGAGAGTGTGTGGATGCCCACCCCCCCCCAAGAGACCACATGCATCAGCTAGCCCGGCATTATCCTAGACACGATGCAAATAATTGAATCAACGGGGTGGGTGGATGGGCGGATGGGTGGGTAGCTGGGTAGCTGGCGGGGGTGGATAGATGGATGGGCGAATAAATGAATCATCGAGCAGACATGATGCCACTACTGGATGAATGGATGGCTGAATGAAACAGTCCGTCAAGTGAATGAATCAACAACATCACACCACTGCCTGCACAAATACATACTCTACATAGTACCAAGTACTTACTCCGCCGCCCGACGCTCGCAGTCCCGAAAGCCGTCGTCCTTCACATGGCCTCGCCGCCGCCGCCCACACGTCAGAATCTGGGGGTCCACGAACTAGCCGTCCGCCAAGCTCGGATCCACACATCACGCAGCGTCGTCTGCTGCACTTATCGCTGTCCTGGTCGAAATTTATGCTCCGAGCCGGCTACGCTTGACGGTTGGCGTGAGGCTTGCCAGTGAACAGGGTGCATGCGGGTCCGCCCCGGTCTGCATCCTGTCCTCTTCCCGGGCGGCCGTTGTTTTAATGCGTCTGAGCGCCTCTCCACCTTAACGTCGCCATTACTGAATTCAAGCAGCCCGGCGGCGATCTGGCTGCTGGCGATCCAGATACGTACAGGGTCGCCTACAAGGGGCTCTTCAACTATAAACCACTCATGCCGCCACACTAGAGGCAGTGCTGCATTCCTGACGTCCTGTCCAACTCTGCACCACGCCCGGATGCTCCCATTCTGAAAAGAGCCTCCAAACTGAACACAAACGTGATCCAAATGCGGCTGCGTGCATCGTGTCCTGGTTCGGGCAAATAATAATACACGCATGTCCCAACCACCTCCTCTTCCTCCACCCCCGGCCCTCCCTCTACCACCCGCTTCTCAACCTCCTCCAGCCATGACTGAGACGCAGAAGCCCCCCGTCTTCTCCCCTCCAGGCTTTCTCGACTACTCCCATCGCCGCCTGCCCCCACTAGAGATTCCGCCAGATGCTGTACCACACCGGCCGGATCACCACTTCCGCTCGCCCATCAACCAGCTGCCTTCGATCCACTCCGGACTGCCTCCTCGCAATGATTACCACACACAGCCGCCCGCGACACATAGGCCAGCAGCCGCGCCTGTCGACAAGCTGTTGCAGCCCTCCAATCCATACACCCCGCCCAGGTCCGATCCACCATATTCTCCTCGGCAATACGGCCCTCCAATCTCGCCACATTCAGAATACGACAGCAGAGGCCCTCGAAGACTAGCTGAGCAGCGCTATTCCTACGAGGAGCACCGTCCTTTTCAGCGCCACCCACCGCATCCCGAGCAAGGAGGCTATTCGTCTCTTACTTCGCCAGTAGAACCATCCCACCAAAGGTCTTATCCTCCGCTCCCCTCACCTGCATACACTCCGAGCTATGCATCAAGTAGCACTCCATACCGTGGATCTGTTGGCTCCCTGCAACATGCGCGATCCCAACGAGGCTCCATTGGAGGGCCTTTGGTCCCGGTTGCATATTCAGAGCCGTCAGCCGCTGCTCCTCCCCCACCACCTCCAAAACAAGTGCGTCCTGTCCCATTACCAGGATCTATACCACAACCCGTGTACAATGAACAACTGTAAGTACTTTTCTTACCCGGACACCAATGTGGCGCTCAACTCACCAATCGCAGAAACCTCAACTATGAGCTCCGTGTCCGGCAACAGCCCATTGCTGCGCGGGCATGCGGATTCGGCGAACGCGACCGAAGAGTCATTGATCCTCCACCCATCATCCAGCTCTTGGTGACGGATCCGAAAACTGGTGCTGCTGAACAAGAAGAGCTACGCTATTCTCTCAACGTAGTCCACTGCACGCTTTGGAATGCCGAAGGCACCAACGAAGAAACAGCACTCATACAACCAGACCGACGAACGACACGGCGATTAATGGGCCAGCTTGTAGCCTCGCCATCCGTGGCAAAAGATGAGCACGATGTCGAGGGCTGTTTCTTTTGCTTCCCAGATCTTTCGTGTCGCACCCATGGCAAATATCGACTTCGGTTTGTGCTTATGCGCATCGACCCCATGAACCTGCACGTCGGAGGCTTCTCGCCAATCCTGACCGAAGTCTTGAGCGACGTCTTTACCGTCTATACAGCCAAAGATTTCCCCGGTATGCGGCCGAGCAGCGCTCTGACCAGGGCATTAAAGCTACAAGGCTGCAACATTCAAGTCAAAAAGGGAAACGAGAAGGCACTTGCACGTAAGCGACTTACTGCGAGTCAAGAGCACGACAACACAGAAGAAGAGGAACTTAAGAGGCGGCGCAGGGAGTAATGACCGTTACCCATGTTGTCTCTTTCAATTACTGGCTTTTCACATCATCTTCCTTCATATCGGGTGGCGCAGACAGGGTCATCATGGGATATCTGAAGCTTTTTTTTCGCAGATGCTGTTTTGCATTTTGACGACGTCACGAAATGACTGCATTTCTCACCAACAATTTTGATTCTGAATTCAATGGTTGGTGGCTTGTGCAGGATAGGAGGAAGGGCGGAGGGTGAAACCTAACCTGGACGGCGTCGATACGGCGAACCCTTTTTTTCTCTTGTACTTGCATTTGGGAATTCCAGCGATGAGAGAGCACGATACCATTCCATAGCACCTTATTCGCAGTCGATAGAAGTTTTTGTTTCCAAGACGCCTGAATATCATTGTGCAAGCCAACGGAAAGTGAGGTGTTGTAGTTAAGGCTCAAGTGTGGCGCGCACAAAGAGAGGAAGGAGGGGGGGGGGGAAACCCACGCTATAAGCGTCGGCCCCACTAACAAAGGGCCCATGCGCCCGATTTTCTTTTCAAGTTTCACGCGCCTGAAATCTCAACTTTCTTTTCTTCCCTCCCCTTCCCCACAAGCAATTAAGGCACTGAAAGCAGCAATCATGAAATACGTGCTCGTGTCTGGCGGCGTCATCAGCGGCGTGGGGAAGGTAAGCTGCAGGTTGCCGCGCCTTTGATCACCACTAATGCGTAAAATAGGGTATCATAGGTAAGCTCTGCTCAAAAATGTGCCACGAGCATGGCACCAAATTTCTAGGGACTGTATGACTCTTGAAGAAGTGGTTCAGTCTTTCCCCAAGATATGGCCTTTTAAAATATTATGCAATGGCTCTCTACGGAACTTGCGTAATTAAGCGCACAGCAGTAAACGTAAGCTAATTGACGTACAACAGCATCGTCGACTGGCTTATTACTCAAAACTATTGGCCTTAAGATAAGTATAGCAGGCCAGCACGTTTGCAAAGCGTACTGACGTCTCAGCACGTCTCGTCGATCAAGGTCGACCCATATCTCAATGTCGATGCGGGGACTATGAATCCCAAGGAGTACGACTCATTTTGGTCACTTCTATAACAATGGCTGAACACAAAACAGGCATGGTGAAGTCTTTGTCCTCTCCGATGGCGGTGAAGTCGATCTCGATCTCGGAAATTACGAGCGCTATCTGAACATTACCCTGACACGCGATAACAATATCACCACTGGCAAGATTTACCAGCACGTCATTGAGCGCGAGCGCAAGGGCGACTATCTGGGTAAAACCGTACAAGTCGTCCCCCATATCACGGATGCCATTCAGGAATGGATCCAGAGGGTCTCGCGCATTCCCGTCGATGACTCGGGCGAGGAGCCCGACGTCTGTATAATTGAACTGGGTGGTACTGTTGGTGATATTGAGAGCATGCCCTTTGTCGAGGCTATGAGCCAGCTGAGGAGACGTGCGGGCAAGAACAACTTTATGCAGATCCACGTTTCGTACGTGCCTGTTATTCACGGAGAGCAAAAGACGAAGCCTACGCAACAGGCAATCAAGGCAGTGAGGAGTAATGGTCTGATTCCAGATTTGGTATGTGTTTGGATCTCCAAAAGCACATGCTCGATGTATCTATGCCTAACAAAATCCAGATTGCCTGCCGTTGTGAACGCGAACTCGATGCCTCCGCTGTGGAGAAAATTGCCCATTTCTGCCAGGTTGAAAACGAGCAGGTCCTTGTTGTCAGGGACATGCCATCAATCTACCAAGTTCCCATGCTCCTCGAGCAGCAAAAACTGATTCCCATGGTTCGCCAATTCCTTGCTCTTGAACAAGTCACCATATCTCCTCAGATGTTGCAAAAGGGCAACCACACCTGGGCACAATGGCAGTCGCTTACCGGTCATGACACGCGATATCACGACCCTATAACCATTGCCCTGGTTGGAAAGTACGTCGAGCTTCAAGACTCATATCTTTCCGTCATCAAGGCGTTGGAACACGCCACGATGCGGTGCAGGAAGAAGCTCGATATTCGGTGGGTTGACTCTGATCATCTAGAGCCAAAATGTCAACAATCAGACCCCGCCAAGTTTCACAATGCATGGCACGAGGTTGTCAAAGCCTCAGGTATTCTTGTCCCAGGAGGCTTTGGTCAGCGTGCCACCGAGGGTATGATTGCAGCAGCCACGTGGGCGCGCGAGAACAAAAAGCCCTACCTTGGCGTCTGCCTTGGTATGCAGATCGCCGTCATCGAATATGCCCGCAATGTCTGTGGCATCAAGGACGCTACCTCGGAGGAGTTCAACGGCGAGGCTCAGAACAAGCTCATCATGTTCATGCCAGAGGTTGACAAGACAACCATGGGTGCATCCATGCGTCTGGGTCTTCGACCAACGTTGTTCCAGCCTGGCAGTGAGTGGTCTCGTCTTCGCGCTCTATATGCTGGTAAGAGCGAGATTCTGGAACGACACCGTCACCGCTATGAAGTCAACCCGGATTACATCGACACCCTTGAGAAGGGCGGCCTGAGTTTTGTTGGCAAGGACGAAGCTGGTGTCCGTATGGAGGTCATTGAAATCAAGGACCACCCTTGGTTCGTCGGTGTCCAGTTTCACCCAGAATACCTTTCCCGTGTCCTGGATCCAAGCAGGCCCTACCTGGGTTTCGTTGCGGCCAGTGCGGGCATGCTGGAAGAAATCACACGCGATTACCAGAACGGCCCCGAGACTGATGGTATCACAAACGGTGTAAATGGCCTCAAGGTCAGCAATGTTTAGGTGGAGCATTGCAGCCGGAAAGACCAGATCAATTAGTCATATCACTGGGAAATCGGGAAGTCAGACGGCGGTCAATGCATCTGATGGTGCCAGGTCCGCTCCTCTGCATAGGCAAACGACAATTTAAAGGGGCAATTCTTCTTCATGTTTTGGAGTTAACGGACCATGGATTTTGACGTTCATTTTGACGGGGTTGGATAGGATAGTTTTTGTGGTCACAGGAAGGCAACCTCTGAGACTTGTAAGAAGAAAAAAGACATGCATGATACCTAGAAGAAAGTAGCTTCATATCAGTAGATGATGACACAACGAAGGAATGAATGAGTGGCCTAGAAGATTTCATCTTTGGCTAGGAACTACTTGGCGCTTCCATTGTTCCACCAAGGGTGCACCGATCAACATCTCGCACACTACATACCCATCTACTCGCCGTGGTCATGTAAAAAAAAGTAAGAAACAAGAAACAAAAACATACAACAGCGGGGATTCGCCAGTAGTCACCCACCTGACTACTAGTCCGCCGGTCGAAGACTTAACGTGCGGAGAACGAACGGGATCCAGTGCTAGATTTCGCCGATGGTCGTATGTGAAAGGATGGTAAAAAAGCATTTGTTACATGTCAACTGTGTGCAATCCACCATGACGTGATTATCATATTCAATTCATTTCTTCATATACACGTAATGTCAAACCAGCGACGCAACCACGCTCTCCGCATCCCTCCTCGGCCCATAGTTCCTCAGAAAATGGCCGACGGGGAAGCAATCCTCCACGCGTTCCATGCTCATCATGCTGCGCACAATGTAGCCCCTCCCCACGCGAATGGCGCGTATGTCGCTGCGGACCCACTGGAGGGGCATCACGACGGCCATCATGTCGCCGAGGACGGACTCTTCCTCTGACGCGAGGGTCGTGAGCGGGTTGTCTGCGTCCCAGAAGGACGAAGTGGAATCCGAGGAGCGTTTTTTATTGATGCGGGGTCTGTTTGGGCAAGTAGGCGACAACGACTCCGACTCCGAGTCGGAATCGGTGCCGGTGAAACTCGACATTTTGTACGCCTTGTTGTGTAGATTCTGGCGACTTGTCGGTACTGCGCCGTTTGCGCCCGTGTATTTTGTCCAGAGGGCCTTGAGGCTGGGGAGATTGACGGCGATGATGGCGGATTGGATTTCTAGGGCGCTGACGACGACCATGGTGCCGAGGATGTAGGAGGTGTCGAGGGAAGGGGAGGGGGATGACAGGCGCAGGAGGATGACGATGCGGCAGCAGGCGATGAGGACGGAGATGCCGCCGAAGCCGATGACGCAGAGGACGGCGATTTTGCGGCGCATGCGGATGTTTTTTAGGGCCCAGATGGTGGAGATGGGGAGGATTAGGATGTAGATGTCTACGAGGATGTTCTGTGGAGATGGTGTTAGGTGGGCTGGAGAAGATGGAAAGGAGAATGTGGATATGAAGGCCAAAAAGGACTTACTAGAATGCAAGGGCCGAGGAGAAGTATCATCTTGTTGATGCATTGAGCATCAGAATGTGTACCTGGGTGAAATATTTCGTCAAATGGCATGCATTGGAAACATGCTACAAGGCTGATCGTTGACGTTAGACTTTGCGAGTACTTGGAGGGTTGGCATGCCTTACACACTGGTAATCCATACAAGAGTGTTAAATCCCACTCCAAAATAGACGGCGTATCGAAAGGTGTCGCTATCGGGAGATAAACGAAGGTAAAATACGAGAAAAGCTAATTTGATCACCCAGTGAACAGAGTAGTAGAGAACTTCTTCAATAAATAACCACTGATTCTCTTGGTCAGAACAAATCTCTCCAAACTGCCCCTTAAACATTCACTCTCACCTTGGTAATCTCGAGATGGTGGTTCGTATCCAGGGCTCCCATATGACTGCCTTCAAGTCAGCACAACTTATCAATGTGACTTCCAGAGCCATCAAAGTATCTTACAGTCCACACCCCCAATACAAAAACATCTGCAGCACGCCCTGCTGCGCAAAACTAAAAGCCTAATTCACCATCCTTCACGTTAGCTCTCCCTTCCCGTAGCCAGCTTGTCGCAAGAAAAGCCTCCAATCACCGAAAACATACCAGAATAGCCACGGCAATATAATCATCCCACCCCCACGTTCTCAGAACAATATACCGGCAATAAAACCGCAGCAAAATCGATAAAGTGCCGACAAAAAAGGTCGAATACGCAATCCCATACGCAAGCGGCTGGATACTAGTACCCAAATCCATCATCATCATCATCGTAAGGTGGCAGTGGTAGCGGCAGAGTCCACGAGTCGATGCCAAACCCAGCCTACAAGGCGCATCTCTAATGCGAAATGGAAAATTTTGTCAAAGGAAAAACAAAACAAGAAAGAGTGGAAGAAGGTGGGCTGGCCCGCAGTGAGAACAGGAAGAAAAACTTTTTGAGCAGGCTGCCGGGTAAGCTACATCTTAAACCCCTCTCCTTATTCCGCGATTGTTCTTCTTCTTCTAGGACTCGTTACTATCAAGATTATTTTTTTTCTTTTTTGGGGGGACATCGGCATTGTTCCTGAGCTAGCACTTGGCAGCAGGTCGCCGTTTGGCTGTGTGCGATCGCCCGTGGTGGGTTTGGAACAAGCGTTCGTAGGCTTGAGACGGCAATGGCGTTGTGGGGGGGAGGGACAAAAAAGCAAATTGTTTGCGTTTCCGATGTGTCGGGAGAGGTGATTGATGGGTTTGTTATAATGCCGCGGACCCCCCCTTTTTTGGGTGGGAGGAGCTTGGATTGCTTTTTACCGTCGTCGAGTATGTATTTGTCTTGGAGAGTTTGGTAAGTAGAAGCACTGGACTTGTGAGATTTGTGTTTGAGTGAATTGTTTCGGAACTTTGAGAGACAGCACAGAGTATGTTGTTGGACACTTGGGAGGTGAGGAGGAGGAATAGCGATTTCCCTCCCAAGAAATCCATCAAATATTTGAATGAGACAATGTGGATATAAAAAAAATGATCACTCGTAAACTCTTCGTCTTCCTGTAGTACTAGAGAATCCCTAGTTCGTAAACAAACACCGCCGCCACACAACTCCATTCGCCCATCTTCTTCCGCAAAAAGCAACTCCTGCCCGTTTGCATCTCGTTTCGCAATCCCAACTGGCCGCCCTTACACTCGCAACGTAAGGGCAAAACAAAAGTTACACACAAATAATCCAACAAGGAGAAACATCCCTTGTTCCCCGATCTTCGTCACGAAACTCCTCAGCGCAAGTTGATTTTTGTTTTCACCACCCCGATCGTACCAATGCCACGGCGATGATCGAGAGAATGCTGGCTTAGATTGCGAGACAGCGGGTCGAAAGCAAGGGTATAAACATCAAACGGAACGTATTGAGGGTGATACAGGTCATGTGCGACGGATATTGGTTTGGGCGCGGGCAAACTGGGGGGTTGGGGAGCTGGGATATATTTAGGCGATGCACGTGGTGGGTACAAGTGATCGGGCGATGCAGACTCTCGATGGTGATCGATGAGGTGTTTTAGTTCAGCAGGGTAGACTGTGTATTTGTGTCTACGCGGCTCGAGATATGATATGTATGTAGCTTGTCATGTTATGGAAGGTGGTGAGAACGAAATCGCATTATGACTAAAGCTGAGGCTGTCAAAGCATGTCTCGTTCATCTCTTCGCTATAATAAACTCAAGGTACAAACAAAGGGAACATATAATTGGTCTCATTAATCTCCTCAAACAAGCCGTCGGCTCTCAAACCCTCGAGACGTAGCTCTCAGTGATGGCCTTGTCCAAATTCCCTTCTGAGCTCCGGACATGAATGCCCTTTTGGATATTGATAGCACCACCGTCTCCATCTAGGATATGGTTCGACATACGCAGCGAAATCCCACCTTGTCGACACAGCTCCTCTTCAGACTCAGTGACAGTGAGCCCCTGATCCGTCCGCGCGACACTTCCCCTATGGTTCTTCCTCGCCCACTTGCCTGCACGCAGCTCTCTACCCTCGGAGCCAAACGTAACAATGTGGCCCCGCGACGACAGCCTGTACCTTTTGTTGTTGGAGTTGCTGTCGCCTCCAGGTCGCGAACCAGACGAACTGCCGCCCATCATGCGGGTCCATAGGGGCTTGAGACCCGGTAGGTTGACTGCGATGATGGCGCACTGAATCTCAAGTGATGCAACGATAACCATTTTGCCGAGCACCCATGATATATCTCGCGAGCGGAACAGCTCAAACAGAGGTATAAGCCGGAAACAAGCAATGATGACGGAACTGCTGCCGAATGCCACGACGCCAATCACTCTGAGCTTGCGGCCTAGCGTCATTTGTAGGTTCCAGACTGTGTAGATGGGGAGAATGAGGATGTACAAGTCTGCAAAGATGTTCTATGTTGCTGTTATTAGTACCTTGTTATCTGCGTCTGTGAAGGGAAAGAAGGACTTACGAGGACGGACGGCACGATAAGAATGGCAAGCTTATTGATGCAGACGGCATTTGGGTGGGTGCCTGGGTGGAGAATCTCATCGAACGGGACACACTGGAAGCATGCCATGAGCCTGGCTTTTGTGTCAGCGAGACGTGAGTTATGTTACAGCAAAAGGTGGACATACGTGTTTATGATCAGGATAGCACCGTTTATGACGCCGCCAATGTATATGGCGATACGAAAGGGCTTTATGGTTGACAGGCGCAGGTAGAATAGGAGGAAAGCCGATTTGATTACCCAGTGTACCAAGTAGTACACAACTTGGTCGATAAACAGCCACTGTTTTGAGTTAGAGCATTTCACCGCTAATCTCACATGAAGCTCGTACTTTGATGATTTGAAGCTGCTGATGTGTGGTCAATGTTGTCATGTGTCTGTGTCTCCAGTCAGCAATTAGTCTGTGGCGAGCAAAGCAGGGGCAGTCATACAAGCCACATCCCCAGTACAGAAACATGTGCAGGATGACTTGTTGGCCAATGCTAAAGGCCTGTAATTCTTGCCGTTAGCTGTGCCTCTGTCACAGGAGGACGGTACAAACCACGTACAAGAATCAGCACTGCAAAATGATCGTCCCAACCCCATAGGTGCAGAATGTAGCGTCGACAGTAAAAGCGAAGAAAGAAGGAAATGATACCGAGCGTAAATGTAATGTAAGCAACGGCATACGCCAGTGGTTGGAGATTTGATAGTGCCATGATCTTGAGGTTGTGAGCTTTCAGACAGTAGTAGCCCACGACTCGAAGAGCGTGTGTCGAGACACAGAATGGATATCAAAGGTAAAGCTCATATTCACCAGAGCACAATTACAGGTTATAAGTTCACTAAGTCTTTGCTATGACGGTCGAGCCCTCGGGCAATGAAGGGGACTTGGAAATCTCCTTATCAGTGATCTGCCTTCTTCGATATCCGCGAACTCAGATCCATGAAATGCAAATGCATCAAAGCGTTCAGTAGTCTCAGGTTCTCGTACCAAGCCGTGTAGCCGCTACGCATTGCCCTCATTGGTGCTACGCACTGATATCCGAGTATTCGAGCAGTAAACTCGAGACGGGATCTTCAGTATGCTGCCCCAAAACAGAGGTTCAACTTGACAGTTGACATGCATTAGCGGTTTTTGACGTCCACCAGGTTCTAGGATGTAAATATTTGTGGCGTAATGGACGCGTACATACCCGGTGGTACGAAAGTATTCACAGTGGGTCTGCGATGCAATTTTGGTTTAGTCAGCTTAGAATCACCTAGAAAGGCTCGCTCTAAGCCTAAGTCGTACAAAAGT